TTTTATAAAGATTATATTAAAAAAAAAAACAAGCGGATCTAGAGTTAGTCACTAGTCTAGAATAAAGCTTTAAATCTTATTAGTCATGAAAGTAAATATGAATATAAGTTACATAGCAATAAACAATAATTTACGATTTCAAATAAAATGTGTACAACAGAAGGTGGACGGTCCCATAAAGTGCAGACGGTCTATATCTTTCACTTGGACTTAAAATTGAACGAGTCGATTTCTATACAGCCAACAGTTTTGGTATAAAACCTTCTTAACCAACTTCTAAGAAAAGAGATTTTGACTTAAATTTTAAAAGGAAACAGTAAGTTTTAAATTGCAACGTGAAAAATTATAAGGATTATATATTTTCACATCGTTATTTGAACAAATAATGTGATTGCTTACAAGTTTTATTTGCATGACTATTAAAATATATGAGCAGAATATCATGACCTCACATTTACCTTCGAAGTTTCAACGAGATTGTAAGTACTTGAAGGAGAATGGTGGTTTTATGGCGTATCTCTTATTTTAATATAACTTTAATGTATTATGGTGACAAAAAATATTATTTTCTAAGATATATTCCCAATATACTATCAAGTAGCATGTTTATGTAATATTGCGTGGATTTAGACCGCGTAAGGTCATTTAACTAGTATGTTAAAATGTGAGTAAATTTACAGTAGAAAATAATTTACCTACCCTCATATTATATCATTGACTGAAATGAAATGAAAATTATTTGTAATTAAAGATAATTGATAAAATTTTCATTGCCTATAGATAGATATACATATAATAAGTAGTTCATAGATTTTTATTGAGTGAATATTTATCAAAAAAACAGTAACGGAAGTGGAAAATTTGCTTAATAAAAAAATTTAGAAAAGAGCATGGTGGGTACAACACTCTAAACTCAGTTACTATAACAAAGTTCTCAAACGAACTCCATTAACAATCTCCACTTGGAAAATATTTCTTAGAAATTCATATTAACTCGAATGCTCCAACTTTGCAGTCAATTCAAAACAGTTATCAAACTTGTGCTTACATAGCAACACTTTTGTGCTTTACATGCGTAATAAATGGCTTTATTATCATAGAGAAGTATAAAGTTAAAATTTTCTACCTCATAAACCCTAAAACTGTTGATCTTAGTCTGAGTAAATATAAGTTATGAAAAATATACGGTTTAAAAATATTTGTCCACATTAAAATGCAATGAGCTGCATAAAATACGTATTGTTAGTTGTTTACTTTGAATTTTAAATTATGATGAGAAACTTTATGTAGTAAAATTGTGTCCATTATTCGAACTTACAGAAGAATCGTGAAAATTGCATATTAGTTGGAGAATATTAAGTTAAAATCTATAATGATACCAATAATCTAACGTTCTATACGTTCATAAATAAATCTTATAATATTATAATATTAAATGAGCAATTCTTGTATATATATATATATATATATATATATATATATATATATATATATATATATATATATATATAGTGTATCTCGAAAACGGCTCTAACGATTTGGATCAAATTTTGTATTTAGATAAGGTTTTGCTCTTTAAGTTTATCTATATAGGTATATTTCTTGAATATCGTCTTATTATTGTTTTTAAAGTAAAATTTGATCTATATCCATCTCCATCCCAACAACGTGTAGGATCAATCAATAATAGCTCTTTCCAAATAAATTATAAATATGCAATACTAGCAACTTACCCAAGCTTTGCTCGGGCGCATTAGGTATTTAACAAAAGCCTATCTGTTACTCCAGTTCATAATCTATATAATATTATATATGTATTTTTCATCCAAATCCGTCTGCCCGTCTCTACGTGAAGACTACATACATACATACATACAAATTTTCGATTTTTAAAGTAGCTCGATTATCAAATATATCAAATGTATCTATATCGATCCTTAGATTCTGATATGTACTAGAAAATTAGTTAATATTCTCAATACCAATATCCATACAAAATATATTTTCGTTGAAACCGAGTTTATCCCTTCTGGGGATGGAAAGTCGTAAATTTACCTGCTCTCGATGCCGCGATCGAAAATTTTTTGCTCACTGAAATTCTGCGGGAAACGACTACTCCACGTCAGGTAAAGCCTTAATACAAAACTTTAGAATGACTGTTATTTATAAAATGACAAAAGCAATTTTAAATAAGATTCAATGAGATTTTGCTTGTCAAAATACTGTTTAGGTATAGGCTTAATAATTTTACCGATATTTAATGTATAATCCAAATATATCTTAATAGAAACTCCCAGATTCATAATTTTATAGGGGGCTAGCGATTCACCCTCGCTCCGCTCGGGTTCGTCCCTAGATACGTTTTAACGGTTAGTATAGATTTCTCGCAGTAAAAATATCCTATATGTTGGACCCGGATAACCAGCTATCATCATACTAAATTTCATGAAAATCAGTCCAGTAGTTTCTCGTGATGCGTTTCCAGACAAATCTTATTGAAATGACTATTTCAATATGATTTTTCAAAAAATATTTATTTTACAGATTCGACTCAGAATTTTATTATATGTATAGATGAAATATGAGAAGGTTATGTTTAGCAATTTTTAACATCTCACTGCTGGGCCCGGGCCTCCCTTCAATAAGAGGGGGATCGGGTCATAGTCCACCACGCTGGCCAAGTGGGGGTCGCGGATTTCACATGTCTTTCGAAAACTTGCTAGTTTTTCTCAGACATGCAGGCTTAAATACAATGTTACCTCCACCGTAAGTCAAATGGTTATCATGTTAGAAATGATGCGCACATAAAAATATCAGAGGTGCGAGACCCTGGATACGAACTCGCTTCACTCGGTTTTCCAAGCGACCGCGTTACCACTGGACTACCACTGCCTCTCTATCACTATCTATCACATAAGAAGGTTAGGAGATATGATAGGCCTCACCTCATCACTAGTCTTAAGATTCAAGCCATAATTAAACGCACGAATAAATGAACAACAACATCGAAAACGATATTATAAATAATTACTAGATTTCACACTCTTAATTATAAAATCGTGTTCAAACTGCGATAATAGCAACGAAAAAAAACATCTAGCAATTTGCATAAGGGAGCACGATTCTTGCATATATCTTTTTTATTTGTATTAAAGACCTTACACACTCGCGACTACCAAAATTATATATTAAAAAAAAACAATGCTCTACATACATCATCACAGTTGTCAAAAAATCATAAAAATGTTATTCTGGTGATAGAATGATATTTTTAGTATATTAGATATGAATGGATTCTACTAATAAAAAATAATAATTTGAGGTATAGACTTTTATATTATTATTAGACCAATTTTATAAAAAAAATGGGTGCGTGTAACCTTTACGCGCGGTTAAAGTAAAACTTCTTTGGCAACTATCGCAATTAAATTAAAATAAATCAATAACTAAATAAGGCATGCTAGGCATATTACAATCATATATTTAGTTCTATAATATCATATATTTATCATATACGGAAAATATATAATATTATATATCATTTATCAGACAATAACAACGGTTACCATGGCAACAATTAGTCATAATTGTATCTCATTATCTCGCCGGCTTAATCCTATATTTTTATACGTTTGTCTCTTTCTAGTGTCGCATTTTTGTTTCATCGAGTTTCAAATCACATCGATTATTAAGAAGATTCACTTCAATAATATTTAAAAACAAAATATATCGAAGTGCTAAAGTTGAGTGTGTTTTGTTCCTAACAACGAAATAAGCCTGATAGCATCTGCACGCAACGTATCCATGTGCTCGCAAACCGCACTAATTATGCAAAAATTTCAAATCCTTGAACTTATTGCACAGAAACATTACACGCCTTACATTTTAAACACTTGTTGAAGAAGACATAGTATTCTTCGCAATTTCCTAAGACACATTAATTGAAAAATAATAATATAATATCTATTACGTGAATCTTTTTTGTTCTTTTGGTAGAAATAACGTAAATATTTTGTTTTTAAATATTTTATATTCTATATTATAAGTTTTTGATTAGTTATTAGTACATAAATGTCAAGTAAATATAGGTGAAAACTCATTTCACTCAAGTCGTTATGACTCATTAGCTGATTTACTTAAAGTTACATGTTAATTATAATATTAGTATATATATTAGTGTGATGATATTTCATGCTTGTTTTAGAACGATTTTGATACAGTTTGAATGTCAAATGAGATTATCTCGCGTAAGTCAAACTTTCGTAACGAACGGAACCACGCACCAAGTCAAGTCAACGATAAATTGAAAGCTTAAGCAGCAACAACTCGAGGAAACATCTTAAGAAGTCATAATCATACTTAAGTCAAGACTAATTCAACTCATAATTAAGTTAAAATTGACTCTCTCAAATGTCCCCTTTCTGAGCTTGGTTGCAAAGTTATCGGGGGTTTCAATGAAAATTTATTATTCCAACAACTATTTCTCAAAATTGTCCCAAGGGTTCGTGGAATTTGGCAAATATCGTTGAACTGCCAATTTGTTTTAAGGACCTAACTGTTTGAACTCTTGAAATATGCTCCAGTTTTCTGGGCGTGAAAGTTTTCAGTATGAAGCATGTTGTCCTATAAGGTTAAATATTGAGCGACTTTGTTTGGAATTCTAACATATTTAATGGTGGACCAATGTTTGGTCGAAATTGTTGCACTCAACGTAAGATTAAATATTTTACATCTATTCGATTTATCTTTATATTATCTTTTCGATTATTGATCTAACTGCAAGTCTCAAGACAATCATAGCATAACACATGCTCAGTAAAAAGTATCATAAAAACTGAACTTTAAAAAGATATTGTACAACCAAAACTTTGTTTCGACGATCTTTTAACATATAGTAAGTTCAAAAAGTATTTAAGATTTGAAAAACATTCGTTGACTCAATATAATTATTATCGGATGCAAGAGCACACTTGATACAACAAACTGTTGCCTGCATTTTATTTTTCAAATCGGCGTCCCATGCCAACCGTTTCAAGTCGGGCTGTTTCGCGGTCTACCAACTCGCTCGTATCGACAGGGACTTTAAAAACTCCAATACGTTTAATACTGTGCCCGCTGCAGGCACAACTTAATAATGTATATAGGAAACTTGTTTCATTCTACTTGAAGAACGCTTCGAGCCAACTTCGTTGTTTACTTACTATTCTATTCCTTCCTTTTTAAAAGCGACGCTTTGCATGTCGGTTACGATCTTGCTCTGTTTAAAGAACAAACCGTTGGGGAGTTTCTCAAATAGAAGCTTATTGCCGAACGTTCTTTTAACTTCGTCGAGAGATTTGGGCATTGTAGTTGAGAATATTATAGTCGTAAATTCTCTAAAAAGGCGCAAACAAAACTCTAAACTTCGTTCCGTTCAAAATATTCAAAACGGGGGGAGGTTTAATGATATTCATGAATGTTAAAGCCGCTTGGCTGTTGTGAAATGTCGCTTAGACTTGTAACAAAACAATGACACTAACTTAAGCTTGGGATGTAAGGCCGCTATCTCTATTTGATTGCGAACATAAACATAGCCTTTATTACCGCCACAATTTTGTACTATATTCCAGAGTTTAAAACTTTGATACTGCCACGGTAACGAATCACCTTAAAAAGTTTGATTTCCTTAAGTAGAATCCGTAAGTCACTTAAATTCGCTAACGAGACAACTCTGAACGCTTATCTCCGCCAACCCGGAGTCCGAAACTTTAAACAAATAACTAACTGTTAAAGAAAGGCAAACAAATTTACAGATGAACTTATATAAGCTGCCGGAAATAAGCAGAGTCTAAATGGTTTAAAGGAGATCTTTGCAGTCCCAATGAAGAAATAAAAGCATAAACGTGTTGTTTTAATGCAAAATGAAATGACGTCCAGTCCACAGGAAAAAGAATAAATTAAAAGTAAGGATTCGGTCCATTGTTGTTTTTGCTCAGCCTTTTTGCGTGTTTTCCATAAAGAATGCTTAAATGTATTTCGGTGAAGATAAAAATGGACGTTACGCTCGAGGATGGCAGAATGATAATAAGTTTCACGTCCGTCTGCATCTTATTTTGCTTTAATGGCTTTAGGTCCGACACCAGCGAGGAGCTTCTACTTTACAGTTCGTTTAACGTAAGGCATATTAGCTAAAGCATTGTTGACATTCACTTAATAAATAAAACATTTTTTCTACAGTTGTGTTAGGAATTTGTAATTATCTTATGTATAACTAATTTGAAACGGGTCGATATATGAAACTTTATATCTGGATGGATACATATATACACCGATCTGTGGCAAAGTTCCGGATTATAGTACAACTTACAGAAAATGTTTACAAAATCTATAGTTACGTATTTCCTACATATATTTCATTATTCGTTATCTTATTTGGAAAACTGAGATTATAATAAGACGAGCTGCTTTCAAACAAAACAAAAACAGACGATCGAAAGACGAAATTAATTCTCAACTGGGACATATTTCTGTGTTATTCCAAACCACAGCGCTGATTGAATCAAAGTAATCCTTAATACGTTTCACAAGTTGAGTAATGTACGTAATTACTTTGAAGAAACTATTACGACAATCCAACGTCTACCACAAGAGCAGGCTCAATTCAACACAATTTCAAATTAAATTCTAGTAATGTATCATTCTTATCATTCGTTAGTTTCAAATAAATTGCTGTAGAAGCATCCACAGCCGCATTTGACTAAATCTCCATAGTCAAATTATTCACTCTTGCAATCCTGCCAAAGCCCCCGCCGCTTCGTTCGTGTAATATTGAATTATAGTGGGGCAAGTAAACCATTGCGAAATGGAAAATTGTTGATAAGTTTGTCAGGGTGTTTATAAATTTGTTTCTATGTACTTAATGAGATTTAAGGCGTTTTTTTATTAATCTTTAATTAATTCATACATTTAGTTAGAATTTAAGTGTAAATAATAAACATGTCCGTTTTAGCTCTATTTGCTTTATCAAAAAGATTGAGTGATCGAAATAATTTATTAAAAACATATTCTTTAGACAAAAGATAGTTGATCTTTTCAATATACCTGTTTATGGGTTCGATGTCCGCTGATGGAAAATATTACTAAAGGGCAATAATCTTATATGCCTTACTTCTTACAAAACAAATGCATGTATATACTTTTAATATAAATCTAAGCCTCTCACTGACTTCTGCCATCCATCTTGTATGTTTCAACGAAAAATGTTCAATACTTATATTTTAAATTCACTCAGCATACAAGCCATTAGTGCGAGAGTAATACCGGCATATTTCAAACGATTTTCAATCTTCCTATTTCCAAATACGCTATTTTCCCGACAACAGAGCATCTATTTCAATGTTTAAAAGCAGTAATATTTTAGAGACCGCCTAAAATGATTTCGCGAAGGCTTTTTGACGACGTCGTTGGAACGAATTCATTTTTCAAAGTAACTTTGTAAGATGCGGCTTCAAATATAGCTTACACTACGCTTTATTAAATTTTAACGTGATTGGTTTTTATGAGTTCATTATAATGTAGGATTTTCGTAAGCTTTTTCCATTATGGCTAATTTTTAAGGTATTATTTCTCCTCTAGCCAATGAGTCTCATATATACCATATTGTTGTGAGATTTTTGTGTACCTAATTACTAAGTAGTTATATCAAATTACAATGCAGTTTTTTTATTTATATTTTTTTATTAATACATTTATCTCATAAACGAGATCTGTTACTTTATCTAGTACATACAGATTACAGACCATATCAGAAATGATATGAACTTATGTTAATATCAGAAATTACTCCGAGTACCTAACTACTTAAAAAAACTTGCTAAAAATTGCTTTTTTATTTGGTACACAAATCAAATTAATAATATTAGATACGATTTTATTTATTAAAGTGGTCTGGCACAACTTTTAGATGATATCGCCAAAAAATTAAAATGGCCACATATGTATAAGATTTTTTGCCACATAAATATACTGTTAGGTTGATAACACAAGGTTGGGCCAATGAACTTTTGTTTGAATTACGAACATACGAATAAATAATAAACAGTGTCGAGGGTTCAGAGAACTTCAACGTCTAAAGATTATTATCGGAAGTGGAATTTTTAATAATAAAAAACTCTTTAATTCGCCTTTTTCACATTAAATGTATGAAAATTTACATATTAAGATTAATGCAAAAATGTGATATAGCGTTATTTTTTTTAATGATCGTGCAATGGCAGTAACTAAAATTGGCATCGCTAGAAGTATCCTATGCTTCTTTCACGTGGTATTTCATAATTAGGTTTTTCCGGAAGCAGAAATACTTGTATATAGTCAGAAACTATGTACAGGATTTGTTTGAGTTGTAAAATCTATTACATAATTATTTACTCGCTCTGGTTCGTCTCTAGGTAAGTTTTAAAGGTTAGAATGGAATAGATACATTATATATTATATGATGAGTTGTTGTGAGTTGTATAGTAACGTGTTTTCCCGTGGGAATGAGATAATATCCCCGCGGTAAAAAGTAGCTTATGCAGCCTCTTCAGACCTCCACCTATCTCCACACAAAAAATCACGTCAATCCGTCACCCTGTTTTGACGTGAAAGAAGGACAAACAAAGAATCACACAGTTTATTCATAATATTAGTATGAATATTAGTAAGTATCCGCTAACAAACGATCACGAAAATGAAATTTAATTCGTGCTGTTAATAAATAAGTTCAACCATTCCTGTTGTAGTCATAACAGGGCAATAAAAACGGCAGAACCTTGCACCAGGTGCAGCATCCAATTTCCAAAAATAATACAAAGCACACATAAAAACTTCACGTATCGTACGTAAATGGGGTTTTCGGAGATCGGTGTCGGCAAAATATTGCTATTTGCTCACCTAGCTATGTGAACGTGAATTTAAAAACGTATTGAATGTTAGGATTTTTGAATCAATTTACGGGAATGCCTTGATTTTTTTATAGAATGCACGAAATGATAGGTGAAGAATGGGATCGTGTGTCCGCTTTTTTATTTCGTTCCATCTTCTCTAATATGTCCGAGATTTTAGCTTTTTATATATCTAGGCCTTGAGCAATGACCATGTGGAAATTTTCACACTCATAACATATTTTACGAAAATTACATGGTTGTTAAAGTTTTTTCAGTTCGTGTGTTAAAATGTTATAAAGAGGTAAAGTTTTTTTTTCAAACGCGCTAACCTCAGGAACTACTAATCCAATTTGAAAAATTCTTTTTGCATTAGATAGTCCATATATTGAGGAAGGCTATGGACTATTATATATCATCATACTACTACCAAAGGGAGCGGAGCAGTAATCATAAATATCAACAAATCGGGCAGACTTCTGTACATTATTACTAATAGCATAAAGCAAAAGCGGTTTTTGGTAGTTTTAGGGCAAGCGAAGTCGCGGGATTTGCTAGTATTATATAAGATAGATGAAGCTTTAGAATCTTTCTTTGAGAAATCTTCACAAAACCATTTCTCTATTACAGATAGCATTTAGATTAGCGAATACAAAGAGAAACAAAATCAATTTGCTACAGTCTGGATGAAATTTAATTTTTTATACTGACTTGGCTAAGTTTGAGTGTTAATAAATTTTAAACTCGCTTTGTAAGTTTTTAAATAGTATCTTAATTATTCCATTGTAGCACTTTTCACTTTTCTGAATTTAAATTTGTTGATAATAAGAATTAACTCTTTCTATACATATAATAAAATTCTAACTGAGTTAATCTGTATATTGAATATTTTTTTGGAAAATCTTATTAAAATAGTCATTATTATCGATACTGATGCAGAATCTATACTTTTTAAAGTTTTTGTCTGTCTGTCTATCTGGGAACGCATCACGAGAAAACCACTAGACAGATTATGATTAAATTTAGTATGATGATAGCTGGTTATCCGGGTCAGCATATAGGATATTTTTTACTGTGGGAAAATATCTCGTCTCTAAGAAATGTATACTAAACATTTATACGTAACGCTAGTATTTTTATATTTTTAAATTGCCAACAATAAAGTAGATAGAATCATAACAAGTAACAGTCGATAAAAATATAACGAATAGGCATTAAAAGCTCAGTTCAAACTCGCTTATAAAAACTCACATCTCTCAAAGATACTCAACTACTTAAAAGAACATAAAAAGCTTCCATATAATATCCATTTCATATAAATCAAGAGGTTAAGAAAACCGAGTGATCCAAAGAATATCTTAATGTCATAATAAATAAACGTCGATAGAGCTTTCAGGAGAAAATATTTTTATTTGGTCTTGATTGCTATAATAGCAAATGATTT